ATTTAGACAGGTCAAGAAAGAACTTTGATAATATACTATGGAATTTGGACTTTTTCTTGGCTGCACTAACTAAAGGATTTTTTTAAAAACAAAGGACAAAAGTCTTATTTTGAAAATGTCTTTCTAGCAAATTGTATAAAGTGGATGGAGGAAGGGGTGAGAGGGAAGTGCTTTTGGAGGAAGGGTGACTAGGGAGAATGAATATTTTGCAGTAGTTCAAGTGAGAAATAATGAAGCCTGAATTTAGAGTTGTAGAGAAGAAGAAATATTTGGTAGGTAGGAAGGTAACATTGGTTAGACTTGGTGACTGTGTGGCATAAGGACAAAGGATTTTGTAGAAGATTCTGTCACTGGGTGGAGAATTAGCATATGTGGAGAGAAATCATCTCTGCCTAGGATTTTGATATGAGTAAGCTGGCAGCTTGGGGCTTGAAACATCAATACCAGTAGGCTTACTGTCAGTGTTCTTTGCTTTCTAGGCTATGTATGGCTTGCTGTCTGGATTCATCTAGTTGAATGTTTCCTTTTCTCCCTCCCATGCTTCTTTGTCAGAGACACTCTACTAAGGATGGGTTCCATAAATCCACTCTTCCCCTTTGTATATTATCTAGCTTCCTATAATTCAGTGCTCCATACCTGGTATTATTTTTAATATAAGAAGAATCCTAGAGAAAAATACGCTCCCCTTTGGGGTCCTTGATTTTTGTCTCATTCATTGAGATTCAGATGCTGGCTAGGCATACATATCCAAAAGCTTAGGAAATAGGGGCCTAAATCAAGAGAATACTTCAGATCCAGGTTTGCCTTAAGACACATCTCAGAAGAAGTCACAAAGAACTAAAGAGAATATTTAATATTTGATCAATATTACACCAGTTAATTTCCTTTTTTATACAAGATGTTCTATTCTCCATGAATTTTCAAATTTTGGGTTTCCCTTAGAGAATCCTCAGCATATGGCATTTTGGCTTCCCTTGGGTATAAAGAGATTAAGTCAGGACTAATGCAACTGGTAGATTGGCCTAGTGGGTATATAGACAGATACTAGTTCAGGGCCTCCATTTGTCCTAAATCACGAAGCTGTGACTTTCAGCCAGGGTTATATGAAATGGCAATAAGTGTATCGACTGCTTTCATGAAGAATTTTGAATCATTTAGTCCTGAAATGGATATAGGGCCATCGCTGTTAGAGGTGCAGGCTGAAAACTTAACTGTTTTAGCTGAACAGTCCTGAGGAGTTTGTTTATTGGCTTTTTATACTCAAGTTTTTGCTAATCAAAAATGGGGCTTGACCTGATTGTAGGACTGAGATTTGTCAGCAGTTTGTGATTCCTTAGGCCTACCTTACAGCTTGTCAGGTCTAATTTAGGGTATGTGGCAGCTATATCTTAGCACATCAGTAAAGTTAGTGCATCTCTGCCAGGTTCATCATCCCCTTAGGGTGGCACATCTGTAAGGGAAGGAGGAAGATCACCTCCTATTGCCTATCATTCTGTTTGTATATAATTTTTGAATAGTTTAGGGAGGGGTAATTCTATAGCAGGGTAAAAAAACCACTTTTTTCAGCTATCAGAACAAACCGTTTTCTGCATGTACACAACAAATCCAAGTTACATGACCACATGTCAGCCTTTTTATTATGTTGCTTCTGGATTTCTTCAGTGATAAAGAAGGAAAATACTCACAAGCTACTCGTGTATAAGACAGACTTGGGCTCCCCCATCCTTTGTACCCTGTATGTGTGATTGTTAACATGGGGAGATAAGGTAGGCAGCTGCTAGTCCTGAGTCTGTCAGTCCCTGGCAGTGACAATTGAGAAGGCAGGCTGGGTTTGGAGTAGGCAGGTTCTTTGCTTCCAGCTAGTTGTATCTAGCCTCAAGAAGACTTAGATTGGTTATAAGATGGGGTATTATGATTGGTGAGGCCCTCCTCCAGTATCCCTGTGACACCACTCAGTTGCTCAGTAGCTGAAGTGGAATTTTGTGTGCCAGGTGGTCTTCTGACTAACCCACCCATTCAGCCTTCTTTAGAGTTCCTACAGCTCTGAACCTTCCCACAACATTGCGTGAGTGTCAGTGTCTCATGTTGAATTTCCATCTTGACTCATCTGTCTCTAGGCAAAGATCCCTGCAAAGATTTAAATTGGGAACCAGACCTTGAGAATGTCTGTTCAGAGCATTTCACAGCTTCTGGATAAATGCCTTTCCCTTCTTAACCCAATCTGTTTTTCCAGCTCTGTCCCCCTAGCTCCTGAACAGCCTTGCTTGAGGAAGCTTCCCAACTGAGGTGGGTGCTGTACTATTTCTTACTCAAGAAAGCACTCCATCCTCTTAGCCTGCCCAGGATTTCCAAGGGCCAGATCCACTGTGACAAAGGGGGTTACACTGTTGCTTACATGGTTCAGGAAACAATAATGGCTTACTTATTCTGAAAGCCTAGTCCATTGAGGAGGTCATATGATATCTGTCACTCTGTGGACCCTGTAGGATGGTGGCAAAAGGAGCTCTGCTTTCTTTATCAGAGCTTATGCTAACTGCTGTTTACCACTTTTCCTATTTATTCTTTTTCACTTTTGCTGAACATAGGAAAGATATAGGATACAAAGGTATTTCGTGGTCAAATCCATAAAAGCTCTCTTATTCAGTTTAAAGACTGTAACTAGAGGTAGAAAACTTGCTGTGCTTCATTTACTGGATACATCTACTTTCTGAGTCTTTGCTTTTCTGGCCTCAAGCTGCTTAGAAGATGGAATGAATGCATTTGGTAGGCAGATGGACAAGGCAAGGTCCATTAGCCATTATAACATCTCAGGCCTCAGCCAAGCCCTGGAGCCATCAGTGGATGAGGCAGGAGAAGTAAGCGTTCTAGACAATGTGCTAGCTCTGGGGATCTTGTCCAGTCTTGAGTGTGAGCTTCTTTTTTACAGGATGCCCAGACCCAGCCACAGCCCCTGCTCTGTGTTCTTTATGAGTGACTACAGAGTTGGAGCTAGGGGAGGGATTCTGATTTAATCAGTCTTGTCTGTTTTTCTTGGTTTAAACTCTTTACCTCTTCCTCCTGGCTTAAGTCTGGGAAACTCCACAGTAGATTGTCTGTGACTTCCACTGAAATTTGACAGTTTTCAAGTTATTTTTTTCCTCTGTATTTAGATGTAGTTACAGTTGTGCTGTCAGCCCTTATCTCTTCTGTCATCCAGCCAGCTCCCAACTGGGTTAGGAGGTATTTGCTCTGCTGTTAGTGTTGGCTGCATAATGAGGTGGATGGTTAAGAAATGGGTTGTTTAGCATCTCCTAGAGTTTAAATTTTCTTCTTTGGTTGAGGGGGAAGCAATGTTATTGGAAGAAGGCAGTAGGGAGGCAAATGTTGGCTGTAGAATCAGCCCTTTCTCAGAATCTTGAATAAGCCAAGGAAATCATTGTTAATTTAAAAGTTTGTTTAATCTACTACGTATATAGGACTGCCTGTTCTGCAGTGACAGATCCTAAATGGCTTTTATAGTCTGACTACCGATTCCTGGGCTAAAAGGACTAGATTCTTTGGTAGGTTGTTACAAGGAATGTTACCGGGCAACAGAACTTGTAAGATTTGGAGAGCTTGGCTTGAGCATGTTGGGTGAATCAAAGTTGCCTACCCACTGTTGGCTGAAGGAGGAAGAAGGTCAGCTCAGAAGAGAATTGGCTTCCCTGGATTGTTGCTGACTGGTCAGAGCTCTATAGTGAGGATTCTGAGATTCTCGAGGCTCAGAAAGTGATCTTTCCTTCTTTTTTTTTTTGGTTTTGGTGTTTTGTTTTTTTTCCTGACCTGTGGTTGCGGACTAGAAAGGGATATCATGTTTCATGTACTTGACATTTTATGTACCAGCGCTTCAAAGGTCTCTAGCTTATGCTTGGCCATTGTGTTGTGGTGAACAACTTGAGTGTTTTTTTGTTTGTTTTTTTGGTACTGGAGATCGAACTCGGGACTTTGCGCTTGTGAGGCAGGCGCCAGAACCACTGAGCTAAATCCCCGGCCCAACTTGAGTGTTTTTTTAAAATAGAGACATTCAGGCCAAGGATTTAGCTCAGTGGTTCCACCACCTGCCTCGCAAACGCAAGGTCCCAAGTTCAATCTCTGGTACCAAAAAAAAAAAAAAAAAAAATAGAGATATTCAATTTCCCATTGAATCCTAACTAGAATTGTTGAATTATCAGGAATTTGGGCCATATGAAAGCCACCTGTCTAGCAAAGCCAACAGGAAAATAGGGCTGCCATTGGCAAAGATTGGGAAATTAGGATTGTGAAAACAGGGCCCTAAACCTTAGACAGTATTTGGACAATATAGTACCATTTTAGATTTTCAGTTCCAAATTCTGGGTTCCAAGGCATTCTTTGGTCTCAACATCTACAGCTGAGGGTCCACATCACCTCACTCAGGTTCCCATCCTTCCTAGTCATTGCCTTGGCATAGCCTCAAGGAATTATTGTTTTCCTGTTGGTTTTCTTGCAGTGGCTGTTCAAAAAGAACTGAACTAGCTGTGTATTCTAAAAGCATGGCACCATTTGATATGAACTGTAGTTGGGCACCCTGTCTGTCCTTTACCTTCTCCAAAGGCTGACAACAGATTATATATACACTAACAAAACCAACCAACCAACCTATACCTTGTTTCAGTAGAAGGGAAAGCTCTATTTGTATTGTGCTCCAGCAGTTTCTTGTGTTCTGGTTTCCATCTGAGGCTGGGAGCTCCTAAAAGTATAGGACTCAGTCTCACATCTTTCTATTCTATAGACATGACCAAGGTGGGTAGGCAGGGGAAGAAAGAAGAACGAAGGAAGGAAATGGGGGAGGGGAGAGAGTAGGATCTATATTTAGCGAAAGGGAGAGACGCTTAGCAAGGGTGTGTGAGTGAGCTTGCTGGCGAGGGTTGTGTGTGCGTGAGTGTGCTGGGAAGGGGGTGTGTGCGCCAGCAACGTGTGAGGAGGGCTGGTGTCCTATGGGAGGTTGCAGGCAGGAAGCAGCTGGAGAGGAGGAGGAGGAGCAGCAGCAGGAGCAGGAGCAGCCCTGCTTTCGTCTCAGTCTCAAAGCACGGAATTGATTGAGTTTGAATTCCACATCCAGTTGAAGTTTGGCTGCTGTTGCCTTCCGCAGGCAGGCTGGTTGTCAGAATACCCTCTCAGCAGAGAGGTGTGGACCAGATTGGATTCCTAGATTTGCAGCCGGCAAGACACCTGCCCCACCTTTGCTGAGGGGATTTCTCTGCTGGGCATTGTTCCTGTCATCAACTTTGTGCTGTGGAGCCAGCCAGCTGGGTGCAACTGAAAATAATAGCTCCTTGGCTCTGTCTGTCGCTTGGGCAAGCTGCAGCACTGTGATTCAGAAAGTTCATCCTGTGGCTTCTCTGTCAAACCAAGGAGTGCTTCTGAATGGATTTCCTCTTAAAGACAGTACTTGCATTCTAAAACTTGAGAATTCATGGCTTTATTGTTGTGTTTTGTTTTTTTCTTTTCAATTCCTTAACCCTTATTTTGGTTGCAGCAATAAGGTAAGTGGTATTGAGTGTATGACTGACTGAATGACAAGCAGGGACAAAAGCAAAGCATTTGTGGGTGGAATATGGAGCAGCCACATTAATTACATAACTGCCTGAGCCAACTTGCTGGTTGGGGGTCATTATAATGAGTGAAAGATAGTATACTCAGCACTGGGGTAGAATCTTCACGTGCACGTGTTTGTGTGCTAATAATCTTGCCATCCATTCCTTCTTGCTGTATATATACACATAACCCATCCACCCCTCTGAGTGTGTATACTTGTATACAAATAATCTGTTTCTCCCTCTTGATGTGTCCATGTGTGTTTATAAATTACCTGTCCATTCGTCTCCTCTGTATACATTACATATAAACAACTTATTCATCTTATATGATACACATAAGCCATCTCCCTCTCTGTGCTTATATATATAGATCATTTGTCTTTTCCTGTGTTTATGCATGTACTCAGGTAACTTTTCTGTTTCATGTATATTCAGGAAACCTTTCCATCCTTCCTCTATGTGTGTATGTAAGAGGGGTGCTACAATGTCTTGTCTAATGTAGTACTAATTCATCCCTCTGTGCATATGCCATATAAACAGAAAAGTCATCTTGAGTTTTCTCAACCTTGAGTGTGTGCACACATACATATAGATAATTTGTCTGTGTCATTCATGTGAAGTGAAAGAGTACTAACTTTGTAAAAAGAAGACTACTTTTAAATCCTAGCTTTCCTCAGTGGCCTTAGTCAAGTCGTATCTAGCCATTTTTCTCATCTATGAAAACAGAATAATTCTTCTCTCTTGCCTCATGGGGTTGTTGTGATGATAAAATGAGAGTCATGTAAACTGAAAACTTTAAACAAATATAATCTTTTACTATTTTTACATGTTCCTCTAGAGTACCTTTGGCCCAACTGCACTGAGATTATGCTCTTGTCTATGCGAGGTCTTTAAATCTTCCATGTGAAGGAATAGCTTCTGTTCAAGTAACTAGATTTATCCTGTAGTTTTGCCCAGAGTATTGGGAAGAAACTACCTATGCAGAGCCACAGCATATCAAGAAAGGGTTCAGTTGAGAGGGAGAAGAGGTCTCATATTCTGCATATTGGGGCCTTGATACTTGGTACTTTATATCCTTAAGAAGTGTTGAATCTACCACAAGATAGAAATATGCTGCTTCCAGTCAGGACCAAAGTGAGGAGATAAAAAGATGAGTGAAAGAAACAGAGCATTCTGCTGCCATTGAGATGACAGCCTGCTCTTTACAGTGGGCATCTACTTCCAGGTTTTGAAGGCTCTCCATAGTGTCCTCTACTCCAGACTTGCAGATATTTTTTATCCAGTGTATTAACCACTGGTAACATTAGACTATTGAGTAATTGAGGTATAGTTAGTCTACTTTAAGATATGCTGTAAACATAAGATGCATATGAAATTTCAAGGATTTAATGTTTAAAAAGAATGCAAATATATTAATTTTTATGTTGATTACATGTTGAAATAATATTTTGGGTATTGGGTTAAATAAAACATACTAAGATTAATATGTGATTATTTTTACTTTTTTATGTGGCCACTATGAAATTTAAAATTATATTTGTGGCTTACTTTATATTTCAATTGGACACTGATGCTGTAGGAGAGCTTTTCCTACTAGAAGGGCAAGTGGGAGCCTCATCATGGTAGCCCTGGGGGTGACAGGAACTGTGGCAGGGCCTCTCTCTACCAGTCTCATATGCAGGAGAGACAGACACTAGCTAATTGACAGTCTGGCAATTTTTGTCCTGAATGAATTCCCAGAAAATTCTAAGTATAATTAGGGAGAAATGTCTGACACTTAATTTTATATGAAAAAAGGTTATAAGTGACCAGTCTAGAAGGAAACTTAGAACTTGAAGGTACCATGTTGTCATGGAAACAGAAGTAGATCCGAAATCTGGAGGCTTGTATTCTAATTCAACTTAGTCATCGACTCCATTATTCTTTCCATGTCACTGAGTTCTCACAGTGTCCCAACCCCTGTGCTAGGCACTGGAAATTTAAAAACAAATATTAAACACAGCTTCCTGTGTAATGAAGTTCACATCTGCTGTGGGCCCTTGAGCAAGAGCCTCCCATCCAGACAGCAGCAATGAGTATCATTCTGGGTCAAAGGTTATAATCTTGAGTAATTGAGCATTTGAAAAGCTAGAGTTCCTGCCTTGCCTAAAGCTTCTCAAATTCAAAATTTGAAAAACATTATGATAGTCAAACAAAACTATTCCATAGGCTAGATCACAAGGTAAAGTGTAGAGGGATCTCAGGTCATAGGAACTGCAGTATTGGGATCCTGCTAAACTCATAATCTAGAGTATTCTCTATTCCTTTTGTTTAATCTCACTCTTCATACCTTGTACCCTGATCACTTTCTTCTGATGAGATACTCTGTGGACATTGATTCGTTCCCACAGATGAATAAAATAAGAGAACCCCTACCTGCTATAGCCCCAGAAATCCATTCCTCTCAGCACATTTGGAATATAGCATAATTGGTAAATGGCCTAGAAATGATCTGTCCTCTATGAGCGAGGCTCAGAGCTCTTGGTTTATTGCCTGTGGGATTGTTTCACAAAATTGAGAGGCTGCTTGCTATATGCACATAGAATCTTGGCTTGTTTCCAGAGGTCCCCTGGTGGTTTCCTGCAAGCCAAGATTTGGGTCAGAGGCAGTTTTTGCAAGGAATAGTCACATTCCTACTCATGTTTATTTCACAAATCAAAGAGAGGCATAAATGAATTATCCATTTCGGAAAACGGTGAGGTTTTTGCTTTTTTTTTTCTTGGTTTTGGGTGAGTGGATACTAATAAATGTGATTTGAGGGGTCTATTCCCTGCTCTAATTTTCAGCCTTCTGTCATTAAAGCTTTAATCCTTTTGATTAATTCATTTTGATTTGTTCTCTTTTCAAATGCAGATATCCCTTGAAAGGGCTACCTTATTTTTTTCAGCATTAGGCATTCTTAGGAAAAGAGCATAGAAACCAATGGTCATTTCTGATTATGTGCATGAAATTTGGAAATTTAGCCAGAATGAATAGGCCCACAAGATAGGGCATAGCACTAAATACCTTGATGGAAATTAGAGGACTAGGTTTGAGTTAAGGAGATCTCACAACCTCTTTATCCCATCCAGTTCAAACATAACTTCTCTGTGGCCTTACCTGTCCAGGCTTTGCCTCTTACCTCCTTCCCATTCCTCTCCTGTGGAACTAAATGCTTAAACTTTTTATTACAAGTTTGACAACAATATGTATCATATCATATTGTGATTATGTATAGGTCTCTTTCTCTCTCTGTCTCCAGACCTTAATGAATTAAGAAAGTGGAGGGCCAGGGATTTAGCTCAATGGTTCTGCTGCCTGCCTTGAAAGCGCAAGGTCCCGAGTTCAATCCCCGGTACTAAAAAAAAAAAAAAAAAAAAGTGGAAACTATCTTATGTCACTGGCACCAAGCTTAGTGCCTGGCATACCATTTAGATACTTATTCATTTGAATTGACTTGGAGATCAAGTGGTCTTTCTAAGAAGGTTAGGCTCCTGTCATTTCATTTCTGTGGACGGTAGTAGCAAAGAGAGGCTGGGAGCTGGGCATGATATGCATGCATGTAATTCTAGAATGGGGGAGGCTGGGGTAGGAGAATCACAAGTTTGAGCCCTATCTGGGCAGTTTAGCAAGACTATGTCTCAAAAAGTAAAAAAGGTTGGGAATGTAGTTTAGTGGTACAGCACCCCTGGATTTGATCCCCATTATTGCAACAGCAGCAGCAGCAGCAACAGCAGGGGACAGGCTGGGAAGAAGGTGAACTGGGTCTCCTGGCATTTTAAGCTGCCCTTTCTGCCCATTCTGACTTCTGGTATCCCAATGAGTTCTGAGCAATGTGATGGTTAATCCTCTGGATATAACACTGAGCCCTACACTGTGATTCACAGCATAAAGTCTAGATGACTGAGTTTGTTGCCATTGGGGAACCTATACTAGGAGATAATTCTTAACTCCAGAATTCATGCAGGGGCAGTGACTACCAACTCAAAAGAAGGGTTGGAGGATTTTGTTTGATTAATATGGAAGCATCTTTTTTGAGGGGTGAGAAAAGTTACTATGGCAGCTATAGTTGGAAGATTTTATTTGTTAGTGACTAGGGAACCAGGCAACTCTACCTCTAGCTCTTTAGGAGGCCATAGGAATGTGGGGTATGCCATTTGCCCTCTGTGTGGCTGGCCAGCCAGTGTCATAGGCATTGTAGTCTGGGAGTGGGCACTGGTAACCCTGTCCAGGAAGTTAGCCAAGTCTGTCAGGAGTGTTGGTCTGTCAGATAGGTGTCAGGTTAACCTGGTGTGCACTGAAGCAGTAACAGGAGAGTTAGCTCCATTTTTGTTCCTGACATACTACTACTTCTGTACCAAAATGGGGTTGGCCTTAGAGGACCTGTAAGTGAATTTGTGCCTTACCAACATTAGGGAGAAAAAGCTTGCCTTCTATAAACATTTGCCCCTTTTTCATGCTGTCAGGCCGCCTAAAGGAAGATGACAAACCTCATGACTCCTAAATGAAGTGTTGAGAACCAAATGACTTCTCTCTCTCTCTCTCTCTCTCTCGCTCTCTTGCTCTCTCTCTCTCTTGCTCTCTTGCTCTCTCTCAAAAAATGCTTCTAGGAGAAAGAAGGTAACAACAACACTGTAATATTTTATGGTACTAAATAGCAGTTTCTCATTTTAGTTTTATAATATTCCTGTGACACCCCAATGCACACTTTACAGATGAGGAAACTAATGTACAGAGAGGTTAAGAGCTTAATCCAAGATCACTAATGAAGTAAAACCCAAACTTATATCTGCTATTCTAAGCCCAGGAGCATGTAGTCCTTGCTCGTGGCTTCCTGTGGTTATACACAGAGCTCCCATCTTTGTTTAGTAAGTAATCTCTTTTAAGAGACAAACTTGAAAGGATAATTGGTATGTCTACCTCCTTATAGAGCCAGAAAGTTGAGGGGTAATACCACATGCCAAGACCAAAACTGAAACACCCAATCCTTATGTGGTTGGGGGGCGGTGGTTGGAAATAAAGATTTTGTACTTGTGGAAGGAGATAAGGAAGAATTTGAGTTAATTTCAGAATTAGAAGTTGATCTGCCTAGACAGCTGGGTACCAGGCCCAAGATCCAGGAATTGAGAACATCCTCAAAGGCTAGACTTAGTGACCAGATTAAAAGTGTGACTGGTCCTGGCATCTTGAGTCCTTGATGTCAAGCCATAAGGGATGAATTGGGCCTCTCCTCTGCCTCCCAGGGCAGGAAACATGTTTAGATGAGGAATTCCTTGATAAAGTAAAATTCTTAGAGGAGCTAGGGGGAAGAGTGGATGATTTAAAAAGGGAATTCCATCTAGTTCCAGCCTCTTGGTTCTTGACCTAGGTATTTCCAATAAAATGAGCCAGCTTCAACTTGACCCAAGTCCTGTGACTGGTCCTTCTGGCTCTTCCTAGTCAAGGGAAGCACAGTGGTTTTAAATTTTAGGTCCATAGACTGTAGCTATAGACAAAGACTTTTCCTGAAAAATGAGTTACCATGAGAACATTTAGCTTGTGTTTTTAAAGGCAGTTTTAACCCCTTTAGGATTAACTTGGATACTTGGAAAATAAAAGGAGGCAAGAGACAAGAAGATTTCCAAATCTAGATTAAATCTAGAAAATGAGGAAACTATCTCTGGTCAAAGAACATGAAAGGTAGCCTGTTTCCCCCTAACTCCTATTACCCTTTGTAGAGTAGCTCAGCAGTCCCGTACTTGCCTATTTGTACTTTATACTTTCCTTCTCTTTACTTTTCACATTTTTTTTTTACTTTTTTTTTTTTTTAACTTTTCACATTATTGTGAAAAGAGAATGGGTGTCCACCCCATATAAGATGGTTATCATCTCTGCCTCTGTGGGTGGTTTAGGGAATAGAGGCAAGACTTATAGCTGGTCTGCATTCATCTTTCTGGAGAGCACCAAAGCACCCTGGAGCCCTCTGTGATGTCAGAAGTTTCGAGCAAGCCTCCATTGCTTAAGCAGTGACAGAATGCTTGGCAGTCACTTACCACAGTTCTCTGAAGTATCCACAGTGGGCCAGGAAAGCTGAACTTGGGTACTGATTTGGCTTAGGGCCTATTAAGTGGAGTTAAGAACACCAGGCTGAGCCTGAGCCTCCTTCATCCTCAGTTGTGAGCTCATCATATATGTGCCTTTGGCTGCCTGCTTCCTGGATCCAAACATGCTAAATGCCACCTGAGTTCTGGAACAGTGACCAAGCCTATACTGTCCCACCTTATCCTGGAAAAAAATACTTTTTTCCTCCAAATTTAACATACTTTCCATGGTTCTTTTTCAAAGTGAAGGGTTTGAAACAAAAGGAAACCCTTTGTGTGATGAGCACAGGCAAGGATGAACCACTGAGTAGCTGAATCTTCACCAGAAAAACAAAATGTGAAGGAAACATTCCATGTCTTGTCTTTCATTGTGTATGTGATTTGAGCTGTGATGGTTAAGCTTCTATTTGTTCATTCCTGAGCCATACCCTAGTGCTGAATTTTGTGAAGATTTGAATAAGAAGTCACTCGTTGACCTTATCTCATCTACCTCCCAATACCTTGTTTCAATACTGATGACTGATGCCTTTGGTACTTGCCTAGAACACAAAAGACTTGATTTATTTATTCATATTGTAAAGGGAAGTTAAGGAAAGAGAACTGATTGGCTACAGCCTTTAAGGCCAAGGCTGGGAGACAAGTCAGATTCTTAGTCTTAGGCAAATTGATTCTTAGTCTTAGAAGGTAATGTTCTTATTCCTGCTTGATGCTTGATTTAGATTAAAATTAACTGGTGCTTTCTGATCTGAGCTCACTGTTTTCCTTTTTTACTAGCTACAGGATAAGAGTCAACCCAGGATCCAGGGGCATGTGCCAGTTTTGGAGGCCACACATAAGGCCATTTCAGGCAGCACTGTGGGCTAAGCCCAAGGTATCAGCCAGCAATAATTACTAGAAACAGACTGAAAAGAGCAGAACAGGCTATTGCTGCCCAAGGTGATCTCTGTTAAGCACCCTGCCATTATATAAGGGGAAGAACCAGAGAACCAACCGTCTAAACCTTGAGTGAGAAAATGAAGCGGTTGTTGCAAGAGTCAGAGGAAGAAATCATAGTCACCTTGGGACCCTCCTCCAAGCTTTCTCCAGAGAAAGTTAAGGCAGAGACTGTGTGTAGCATCAAAAACAAGTCCTCAGGCCCTGCTGGATCCTTACCGGAGGACAACTCCCTGCTTCCTTGCTGTGGGTCAGCAGCCTCAGTCACTGGTAGAGATAAAGATGGGGATCTGGTCCAGCTTTGCAGCTTTGGGCAGCATGCCAACAGCCAGCTTCCTCTGGGCTCTACCTCCAGTGTTTCAGAGTCTGGTTCTCAGGACTTTTCATCTGCCAGCATTACCACAAACTGTCAAGAGTCCTCAGAGAGGAGCCAAGCCAAGTCCCTTTTGTCCAGAGGCTCTGGCCACGAACAGCGAGAGCCTTTAGGGGATGTAGTAGAATATATCATCAGAGAGCTGCAAGGCATCAGCCGTCTGCAGAGTGAGATTGCTGAGCTGCAGCAGCACTTGAGCCAAGTCCGAGGATCAGTGGATGAAGTATCAAGCTGTGTAGACTCTGTACTGAGTGAAATAGAAGGCTTGCATGTGGGCAGCAGCTCCCTGACCAAGATGTGTGAGCCCTGTATGGGAAGACCCAATGAGGAAGCCATTCTGTACCTGTATGGACTTCCTGAACAAGAAGGGGAAAATACTATAGAACTGGTGGACAACTTTTTAGCCAAACATCTCTGTGTCAATGGCATACAGTGCAGCAGGTACATCAAAGAGGCTTACAGGGCAGGCAAGGCCCCTGCTCCCAGGCCTACCGTGGTGAAGCTTGCACATCTGGAGCACAGAGACTTTATCTTACAGAAGTCCATCCTCTTGCAGAGTGTGGGGGTTCAGGTTGCCAGCAGAGAACCAAGCTGGTCACAGAGCTGTAAGAATCTACAAATGGAGTCTATATCATTTTTGCAGCAACTTCAAAATCATAGTGAGAATTCTTTAAACCAGGATAAAACAGTTCTTCAGATGAAAACATGGGACAGAGGACCAATGACAAGTTCGTATCAGATGAGGGCTCAGAATCAACATAGAGAATATCAGATTCCTGACCAGCAAAGTCCTTGCTTCCAACTCAAGAACAATTTGACAAAGGAAAGTGATAAGTTTAAGACAGGGGCTGAAGTGAAGGGAACATCAGGAACATCCCAGGCTATCAATGGCAGCTGTGGTAAATTAGCAGAGAGAAAGACTTCTCTATCTCCCCTCCATCAACTTAAGGAACCTTTCCTAGTGTTAATCTCAAAAGAGGAAGATTCTGAGAAATCTCAGTTTTTTGAAAGGTACAGCCAAGAACTTGAAGCATGTAAAGTAGCAAAATTAGAAAATGACTGCAGCAGTAAGAGTGAGGCCAGCAGCTGCCTGTCACTGCCTGGATTACTAAAGACAGAAAGAATAAATGCAGAAGACAAGCTTCTAGGCTGTGAAGCTGGGCTTGATATTCTGAGTTCCAAGCAGCTAGAAGACCTTTTGGCAGACAAGTCTAGAAGGTTTGCAACTCTGAGCTCTGACAGCATGGTGGAGGAAATGATCATAGGGCCTGAGACTTTCAGTAATATGGTTCATATTGACTTAAATGAAGAGGAGGAATGTGCTGCTCAGGTCCTTAAGGATGTCTTTGACAAGTCCTCTTGTGTTCTAGGTAGCTTGCAGGAGGACGAGGATGTGGAAGTGAAGTTTTACACAACTAAACTGGGCCGAGCAATTCACCATTTTCGTTCAGCTCTGCAGGGGGTGTTTCAGAAGCTGGAAAACAGTGGGTCCATCAGTCTTGAAGACCTGGAAAGCAATGAAAGTGGTTCCCAGTCAGAGAATAGTGATCGACTTCTTGGAACAGTGAGTTCAAGGGGTGCCCAGGATTGCTCTGTGGAGAGTCCTGGAAGCCAAGGGAGTGAGAGCTTGCTCAGCGTGGTCTCTGGTGAAGTAGGCATCTCTGTACAAAGCAACCAAACCCCTCAAGACCCAAGCAACTTCTCTATTGCTTCCAATAACTCACCTCTTACTAATTCATTGCCCAGTATTACTCTGGCCTCATGTCTGGGAAATGAGACTTCTTCCAGGCCTGAATCTCCCAAGCAAGGCAGGCTAAGTCTAGAGCAAGTGTGTGCAGAGACCATTTACCTCAACAAGTGCATCAATAATTTTAAGAATGTTCTACGAGAAAAAAGGCTGAGGCAGAAGAAACTTTTACATGAGCTGGTACAGAAGGCAAACCATCTCTCAGTAGAAGACATCCCCTCAGGTATTATGTCCCTATGTAACAGGGTCCCAGCTGGCTCAGTATAGATTTGTCTGGACAGCAGGGGCCTGGTGTGCTAGGTTTCTCAAAGTGATGGGAGAGATCCACATTTGAATCAGCCTAAATTAGTTGAGCACCAGCCTTAAGCTAAGCCTATAAAAATTGGAGTGAAAGAGGATTCTAAAGCAACAGATTGGAGGTTACTCTCTTTAGCGAGTTTCTAGTGTATTGGGAAGAACTGTAAATAGGCATGGTGGTGCATCCCTGTAATCCCAGCACTCTAAGAAGCTGAGGTAGGAGGATTACAAGTCTGAACCCAGCCAGGTAACCCTGTCTCAAAAAATTTAAAAAGGGCTGTGGATAATGCTCAGTGCAAAGGCCCTGGGTTCAATCTCTAGAGCTACAACAACAAAAAAGCGCCTTTTCAAAAGATAGAGGAACCTCTGGGCAGAAGTAGTTTGCAGCTGGAAGACTTTAAGATACTCAAATGGAAAGTAGGTGTGGGAACAGGAAGCAAGAATGGGGGATGAGGCATATTTGCTCATGGGCCCTAGAAGAACCAAGTAAGAATCCTATTACATTTCAAAATTATTCTTTCTGGCTTTCTTGTTGTGATAGGATTGTCATTTCCTCAACAGCTGATGAGGCTTCCCTATCCCAACCTGTCATCTTCTAGTCTTGGCCTTGCCAACACAGAACCTTATTTCCAATTGGAGGAGCCAGGAGCTGCTTAGAGTAGTGATTCTTCACAAAGGCCCAGGGTATTTTCCATGTCCTAGTCTTTTTCTTCTCCAGCTAAAGGCTGCTTACATGAGAACTAAAGAAATGGAGTGTGTTTTCACTACAGGACATGAGAGAACTTTTTTCTAGATGGCATGGAGATATGTAGCTTTAAATTTCTTCTCCCAATCAAAATTAAATTTATCCAAAGAGCATTCACTATATTCACCCAGTTTTAAGTATAAGTGGGGTTGTCCCCTCTTGCATATAACTTGGTTAATTTTCTAAGGCAAAGCTAAAATTATGAAGCACACTGTGTTGGCAAAGGTGTGAGAGAACTGGCACTCATACAATGCTGGCAGGATGGGAATGTAGATTGGTGTAACCTCTAAGGAAAGCATTTGGCAAAATTTATCAACATTACTAATATATATACCTTTTTAAGCCCTCAGCCCCACTTCCAGAAATGAATCCTGCAGACACGTTTTCACATGTGGAAGTGACATACACACAAGGCTATTTTTGAAAGCATTGTTTTTAATAGTAAGGATTGAAACCAATTTAAGTGTTCGTTAAATACTGAAATACTGGTTAAATAAATTATTGGCATGTCCACACAATAGAATACAGTACCATGTAGCTATAAAAAGAATGAGGTAGCTCTTTACCAAAATGTTAAAAAAAAACTAAAAAATGTTGATATGTGAAAAAAGTATAGGCAAAACAGTATACATAAAATGCTTTTATTTGTATAAAAAGGAATGATAAAGAATACATTTTGAGAAATGCATCCTTAATGATTTTACTTAATGTGAACATCAAAGTGTACTTACACAAACCTAGGTCATATAGGCTACTATACACCTAGGCTAGTTTTGGCAAACCTGTGGAACATGTGTTTTTCTTATAAGACAAAAGATGTTAATGTATGAGTTGTTTTTTCTAAACTAAAACCTCAGTATTCAGGTTTAGTTACAGTGTTGGCACTTTGCAATAAATAAGTTGGTTTGGGGTTGTAGTTTGGGCACTCGTCTCTAAAAGATTCACCATAGGCTATATGACATATACATATCATTGAATATATAGCCTGTTGTTCACCATATGTCATTGTGTGGAGTGTGACTATAGGCGGTTACCCATAGGGAAAGGTATTAGGTGGAAAACTAATGGGATTCTAGTTTTCATTGTTTTGTTTTATTTTTGGACTATGCCAGGTACCATCTAAACTACTCTCATGTACATTGTGTAAAAATTCAGTTCTTCCTAACACTCCACAGAATAGCTTTGGTAAAGGCCAGATGACTGCCATTATGTCAAACTAATGGTTCATTTTCAGTCCTTCTCTTAGTCAACAATGACACAGTTGGTGATCACTTCTTTTTTTTTTTTTTTCTCTAATTCTTTTATTAGTACATTTTAGGTATACAATATGTTTACATTTATCTTTGAGTGCTTGTACCTGTACATGATGTATCTTGGTTCTTGTTTTTTCCCCATTACCTGTGTGCCCTTCACCCCCTCCACCCTTCCCTATTTACATAGACTTTGTTTCCATTTTTTTCTTTTCTCATAATTTTTCCTGGTGATCACTTTTTATTATAACAGCTTTAATGAGTTATAATTCACATACCGTAAAATTTGCCCTTATAGTCTCTTAAAAAGTGGTTAGAGTGCTTTTTTTAATATAGTCACACAATTATGCAACATCACCATTTTCTAATACAGGAACATTTTCATTTTCCTGTAAGAAACTCCTACCCATTAGCAGTCACTCTCCTTTTCCTTCAGCTTCTGATAGCCACTAATCTACTTCATTTCTATGGATTTTCATATTCTACACATTTTCTATAAAGAGTTTCATATAATAATATGATACTTTTCATTTAGCATAATGTTTTTTAAGGTTTACCAATGATATAGCTTATATTAGTACTTCATTACTTTTTGTGGCTGAATATTTCATTAGATGGACATTTTATTTCTACATTAGTTATTGGTCATTTGGAGGATTGTTAGTTACCATTGCTTTTTGGCTCTAATGAATAATGCTGTTGTGAACATTTAAGTACAAGTTTTTATATGGATATATGCTTTCCATTTTCTTGATAATTGCTGGGTCATATGGTAACTCTCTGTTAAACACTTTGAAGAGCTACCAGACTGTTTTCCAAAATGGTTCTACTGTTATACATTCCCACCAACAACACGAGGGTTCTAATTTCTCTGTGTCATCAGCAGCACTTAGAATTCTCCGTCTTTTTGATGATAGTAACTCTAGTGGGTGTAAAGTGGTATCTCATCATAGTTTTGATTTGCAAAGTCCATAGTGACTGCTTATATTGAACACATTCTTACATGTTTACTGGCCATTCTAATATTTTCTTGGGAGTAATACCTTTTCAAATCCTTTACGCAATTTTAAATTGAGTTTATCTTTTTTTGTTAAGTTATGAGTTCTTTATAAATTCTGGATATAAGTGTCTTACCCAATATATTCCTTGTAAATATTTTTTCTGATCCTGTGGGTTATCTTTTTCACTTTCTTGATTTTGTCCTTGGAAACAAAAGTTTTTTATTGCTTTATTTAAAATTGGTTGTAATAAAATATATGTAACATACAACTTATAATTTTAACCATTTTTAAGTGTAGAATTCTGAGGCATTAAGTATATTCACATTATTCTAAATCATCACCATCCATGTCCAGAACTTTTTAATCTTTTCCCACTGAAACTCTGTACCATTATATACTAACTGCCCATTTTGTCATCCCTCTCCCAGTCTCTGACATCCACCATTCTGCTTTACGTCTCTGTGACATAAATTTGACTGTTCTAATACCTCATTAAAGTGGAATCATATTTGTCCATTTGTGACTGACTTACTTTACTTAAAATAATGTCCTCAGGGTTCGTCCATGTTGGGGCATGTGTCAGTATTTCCTTCCTTTTTAAGGCTGAATAATATTCCATTGTATTTGTATTAAATTTTATTCATCCATTCATTTGTCAGTGGACAGTTGGGTAGCTTCCACTTTCCAGCCATTGTAGATAATGCTGCCATGAATATAGGTATACAGGTATCTATTTGATTCCCTGTTTTCATTACTTTGGGATATATGCCCAGAGGTAGAATTGTTGTGTCATATAGTAATCCTAATTTTTTGAGGAATCACCACATCATTTTCCATAGTAGTTGCACAATTTTACAATTCCACCAACAGTGCACTAGGGTTTCAGTTTCTTCACATACTCTCTAACATTTGTGTTTTTGGTACTGGGAATTGAACTCAGGACCTTACACTTGCGAGGCAGGTGCAGCGCCACTGAGCTAAATCTCCGGCCCTTCTAACATTTGTTTTTGCTTCTTAAATAGCTGTATGAAGTAGAGCACAAAAGTTTTAATTTTTTTGAATTAGTATATGTTCACAAAAATATAATAATTACATTTATCTTGGGGAATTACTACATATACATATCACGTATTGATTACTTTTACTGCCCCCTCTCCACCATCTCCTCTTTCTCATCTCCATAGAGTTTACTTTCCTATTTCCTACCATCTCTCTTTTATTTTTTTAAATTACTTATATTTTGGGTCTCTCATATTAGAGAAACCATGCAATATTTACTATTATGGTTTCAAGATCAATCCATTTTCCTATAAATGACTCAAATTTATCCTTCTTTATGGTTGAGTAATATTCCACTGGGGTGTGCGTGTGTGTGTGTGTGTGTGTGTGTGTGTGTATCTCACATTTTCTTCAACCATCCATCTGTTGATGGACATATAGGCCACTTCCATAATTTAGCTATTGTGAATTGTGCTGCTCTAAATATAGGTATGCATGTATCACTGTAATGTGATATCTTTAACTCTTTTGGGAAGGTACCCAAGAGTGGAACAGCTGGATCAAATAGAATTTCTGTTTTTAGTTTACTGAAGAATCTCCATGCCGATTTTCATAGTGATTCCACTAGTTTACATTCCCAATGATAATGGAGAAGAGTTCCTTTTACCCCACAAGCTCATCAGCATTTGTTTTTTTTAGTTCTTGATGATAGCCATTTATTTTCTTTTTGATGGCCATTTTTTTATTGGAGTAAGATGGAATCTCAGTATTGTTTTGATTTGTATTTAATAGCCAGAGATGCTGAACACTTTTTCATGTACTTATTGGCTGTTTATACTTTTTTTTTTTGTAAAGACAGGGTCTTGCTATGTAGTTCAGCTGGCTTTGAACTATGTGTCCCAGGCCAGCCTCAAACCCGTGACAATTCTCC